AGGTGCGTTTCTATCAGTCTTCCTACCATTATGACCAAGTTGCGAAAACAAGGTCAAACAACTTCTATCTAAACATTTTTTTACCAAGAGGCGTTGATGAGGCTAGATTACAAAATAGTCATCCATATATATAACCAACAATTTGGGGGTTAGTATTACCTCTTGCAGGAAGTGTTCCTCCAGTCTTGCCATATAATTGTCCACTAAGATGGGAGACAGGCAAGATTCCATCGCTAGTCCTTGTATTTGTTCGTATAACTTACCATCGAAGGTAAAATATGTGGTACTCATGGATAGGTTAATAAGCCTAATAATGGATGCTACACTCAGTCTTATTTCTTCTGCTATCTCTGGATGCTCCTACAGAGTTGGGGATATAGGATTGGTGATTAGCCCAGTTCAGGCGAGATGCCACAACTGTTTAACAGACCAGTGGTCAAAGGATCGGCTTTACTTGTCTCTGCGATGAGTTCTAGCGTGGTGCTAAGAATAAAAAGACTCACTGACGATGCCGGCGAAACATTTGGGAATGTACCACGTCCATGGTTCGACGCTGCAAATTAGCATGCATACTATGGACTCCTGACTAGTTGCGTTCCTCTAGGTCTTCCTACCAATATGAACAAGTTGCGAAAACAAGGTCAACAACTTATATAAAAGAATATAGTATATCTGCTAAGAAACCCGGGACCAGCAAAGTTAATGCTGACTGATGGAGCCGAAGGATGAAGGTTACTTTAAGGCCCCGATCCCTCATAATCATTTAGAGCTCAGAGGATAGAAAATTGATCAGAGAGCTTAAGGATTACTATGAATTGTGCGTACATGCAAGCTAGAACTTAATCTATAGAGTAGCAGGTTCGAGCCTTTTATAAATGGCAAAGGTGCAAGAGAGACGACCAATGGATAAACAAGGATAAGCAGATTAAAATAAAATATACAGCATTGAAGTTCAATCGCGATAAAAAACAACTAAATAACGTACCTGAATGCGACCGAACCTCTGCCTCAACTGATTTACACGTGTCCCAGCCTCCACAGGTATCTCGATGGGCTCGTGAATGCCAGGACTATCCTGGACGACGTTATGTCCTTTGCTCACAGAAAGACGAACACCAGAGACATCTCTAGATGGAAGATCCGTAGGTTCGAGAGCTCCATCCAGCTTCGGTTTCCCGAAGGCACTTTTTCGTGAAGTAATGCGGCGAAGTGCCCCTCCAAACACACCAGCTCCGCTTGAGGCTGTCTCAACGTTAGAAACTGATACAAAATGAGAGGATTACTAATACAATGATTAGACAAAAATCAAAAATAGTAAAAATAAGGAAGGAAAAAACCGAGGTAAAACAAAACGAAAGGGAGAAAGACATAAAGGATGAGATAGAATAGATGCAGTAATAAATAACAGAGTAGGAAATACTTTATTCTAAAAAATCAATCTCCTAATAAATGATTTCAACCAAAGGTGACACAAGACTGATGCTTGAAATAAGAAGATTTGCCGAAAGATAGGAAGTGACAACTTGAATTTTTAGGCATGCTATTGATAGACAAAGGTCGGGAAAAACGTCATGGCGATGATGACGACAAAGTTTGGCCTTATTCCTCTTTATATTCATTCTCCGAAGAAATCCTGGATGGATCTAGAATGCATCAAGCCGGTGAGTGAAAGCCAGTTAAAGGTGATTTGAATAGTGTAGCTGAGACAAATGTAGTAATTAAATAAATCTTTGAG